TAAGGTAATTGGGGTTGGGTTCATGGCAATGTGGGACATGGTAGAGAACAACAACATGAAGGTGAAACTTGGGTGGGAACAGGGAGTGAACAGATGACCACCAGGGCCCTCTCAGGTGAGGCTGCCCAGTGATGGGCCTGGTGGCAGTTCCTGAAGATCCTTGGGGCCTTAGGTGGGTGACAGCTCTCCTAAGTCTCTGCTCCTGAGGCTGACAAGCCCTCACACTCCACATTCTGTCCATGCAGCTATAAATATTAAAACGTGCCAGAGGAGAGATTGCAAAATAGGGCTGTGGGCAAGATAGAGCTCTGAATTGAGGAGAAGAAATGAGAATGAATTTCTCTCTTCTGATTCCCGCTTCTGTCTGTTTATTGCAAAAGGCGCTGTGGGAGATAAGGAGCAGGCAGCTCGTGCCCTGCAGGCTGTGCAGGAGGCAGTTCCATTGAGGGTCGCATGGAGGGGCAGAGTTGGGTGCCACCTAGTTCACGAGGCCGCCTGAGGAGTCAGAGCTCCCCACACCGTCCCAGATGCTGCTACTGAGTATAACTCTGGGGTTCAACCCCTGCTGGTCCCACACCAGGGCAAAAACAAAATATAAAGTAAAACAAAATAAAGTAAAATAAAAGCAAACAGAAAAAGTACTCCTGTGTGGGTAGGTGTGGGGTGGCTTTGGGGCTCCCCAGCCCAGAGTCTGAGCACTACAGCTGCCAGGCAAAGTCCCCCTAGTCCCTCTCTGCTCCTCTGTCTCATACCTCGAGTCTTCCTGTCCATCGATTCTTCTCCAGAAACTTCTTTCCCATCCACCGGCTTCTTTTCCATTCCTGCCACCAGCACTCTCATCTGCTCACTGTTCATGACCTCCCCAACCAATGACTTATCTTCTTTCCCTCTACGCCTCTCTAATTCATCCTACCAGCAGATTCACTTTGAGATACTGCTTTGGACATATCACTTCCCTGTTTAAAATCTTCTATTTGTCCAAACCAGGGCAGGACTTAGTCTGGAACTGTTGGTTTCACCTACAAACCCTCAGGTACCCCTTTCTACCACAACCTCCAAGCCTCACCCCTAAGCACCCACTCCTTGCACCAGTTTCCCTGTCTGCCCTCTGCCCAAATACACCCTGATTTCTTGTCTTTTTTTTTTTTTTAACTCCTCTCCCAGCCTAGCAGTTCCCAACCAGCTCTTCCTCACATGTCTTCCTGTACAAGTTATATCCTCCTCCTTCAAAACTCCGGTCCAATCTTACCTCTCAGCAAATCCATCCCTGACAATTGAAGTCCTAAGTGCTTTCTCTGTCCTCTGAACTCTCATATAATTTTAGCCTGTGCAATTCATTTGTTAATTAATCATGCACTGTGCTGCCTTGAGACATCATTTTTTTTTCTCCTGTAGCCTTGTGCTGATAGTTAACTCTTTGAGGGTGATTTAAAATTTGCTTGCTGATGTTTTGGCTTCATGCCCCTTTGTGACATCCTTGGGCACAGATGCCACAGCTTTTTACTCCTTGCAGCAACTTCCCAAGGATCCCAGCACTGAGTGAGGCTGCTTCTGGGACTGCAGAGTGTTCTTGCTGGTTTTTATTCTCTCCTTCCCTAGGTCCTGGGACACTATTCTCTCTGTTTCCCCATTTATTCATTCATTGATGTCTCCTTTTAAGGGGGCTTCTTTCATGCTTGTCCTTGAATGGTATTTCCTTGGAGTTGGTCCTGATCCGCCTGCCTTTCTCACACTCCACTCTCACCATGAATCATCTCAGCTAAGTTCCTTCTTCCCACTGCTGCTTGCATGCTTATAGCAATCAGTGTCTCCACCCATCACTGCTTCCCTAAACTGCAGGTCTCTATTGGATCCGTCAAGCTGCACATTCCACAGGAACCTCCAAACCAAGGGACCCAAACGGAACCAGCTGTTTGCAGTTGCCATTGCAAAGTACCACAAACTGGGAGACTTAAAACAAGGGATTTATTCTTTCACAGTTCTAGAAGCTGGAAATCCAAAATCGAGGTGTTGCAAGGCAGTGCTCCCTCTGAAGGCTCCGAGGGAGGATCGCTCCTTGCTCCTGGGGCTCCGGGCAATCCTTGGCGTTCCTCGGCTTGTGGCTGCATCACCTCTGCCTCCGCCTCCGTTTTCACAAGGACTTCTTCCCTGTGTGTCATTCTGTGACACCCTTAGCTCTCCCCGTAACAAGCTTTCTTTTGGTAAATTACATTCCCCTTCCTCCCCCAGCCCAGTCACCCAGACCCAAGAAGCATGGGGCTTATGCAGATTCTCCTCTCTCCATTTCTCATCCTCTACCACAGTCATTCCTGACACTCCTTGGCCACACCCTCCTATCCCTTGTCTCCCCTCTGACTTGCGGCAGTGGCCCCGACCTGCACAGCATAGGTCAGTGTCGGCCAATCTTCTTTTCATTATTCCCTGTCAAGAAGTCTTTTCCTAATTGCCTGCCTCTATGAACCTGCAATGCCACAGATAGACTGTGTGTCTGTTTCTATGCTGTGTGTATTTTTATGCCTTTAAACATAAAGGGTAAGATTTCTGGCAGCCCCCCCAAGAACCAATTTTGCCACTTTGGGGGTGATGTCACCCCCTTCTGGAATGCATGGTGTGTGATCTCCCTCCCTCCCTCTGCTCCGGGCCCACCCCTCCTCTCACCCATGCATCTTTCCTACTCTTATAAAACACAAAAAGGAGCTTGCTCCACCTGAAACTGAGAGAATGTCAGCATTGCCCCTGAGAGAATGTCCAGACCTCTTGGGACAGCATCCTTCTGCATCCAGCGCAGCCCATGGCCCTTCCATCTGCTGCTCCAGCCACACAGGGAGCAGCTGCATTCAGGCCAATGTGCCTGGTCCCGGGACACCATCTGCCTGCACCATCCGCACCTCTTGCTTGCATGTTCAGTTTGAATTACATTTCAAGATGCAGGTTGAGAGTCACTATGACGAGAAAGTGCTCTCCTACCACCCCCAGGAGACTGGATGCCCATCCATCCCCACTCGCCGCACACTCAAAGGTTAAGGGGCACTTCTTCAAAACCATGTCCCCTCAGGTAGAGCAGGTGCCTGGAGGGCAGTGCAACAGGGAGAGGAATGGGAGGACAGAGCTATTCACCTGAGTTGGTACCCACTGAACCTGGCCAGCCTCCCACAGTGGAACTGGTAGCACTGCCATCTCTCTGCCTGGCTCAAATATCTGGAAATCACAGACTGCTTCTCACCCATCTCTGTATCTCCAGAGCCTAGCCCAACGCAGTCAGAGCCCAGTGAGTGTTTTGCTGGATGAATGAATGAATGAATGATTAATGAATGGGCTTCTCTGGACTGTGTTTCAGCTGCCCAGCCACCTCACATGAACTCCACTGTTGCTCCCTGTTGCCAGGCACCTCCAAAGGCTGCCTGGTTTCTACCTGCCCATCTCCTCTGCAGACCACCTTTTCCTCCTTCGGGAGGGGTCACTACGCAGGCACCTGATCCTGCACTCCTGGTTGGCTTCTCTCTATGTTGAACTCTGCTCCTGTGGCCCTGGCCCTCCTTCTCCTCCTATTCCCTCACTCTTCATCTTCAAGCTGAGTCCCATGATGCCCTCCTGCCCCGCCCCCCTTACTCACCACTTTTGCCCCCGGGCTATGTGCGTGCCATCTTCAGGTGAACAGCTCTGCCCACCACCTCTTCTCTCTGTGGTACCCCCCTCCAGGCACCCTCTCCACCTGTAAGGATGTGGTCTTTAACAAGTGCCTGTTGGCCGGGCACAGTGTCTCATGCCTGTAATCCCAGCACTTTGGGAGGCTGAGGCGGGTGGATTACCTGAGGTCAGGAGTTCAAGACCAGCCTGGCCAATATGGTGAAACCCTGTCTCTACTAAAAACACAAAAATTAGCTGGGTGTGGTGGAGCGTACCTATAATCCCAGCTACTCAGGAGGCTGAGGCAGGAGAATCACTTGAACCCAGGAGGCAGAGTTTGCAGTGAGTTGAGATCAGCCTGCAGCCGAAATCTCTTTCGAGATGGAACAATACTCCATCTAAAAGAAAAAAAAAAAGAAAGAAAGAAAAAGAAAGAAAAAGAAAGAGCCTCTTAACCTTTGACTGTGTGTGTGTGTGTGTGTGTGTGTGTGTGTGTGTGTGTGGCAGGTGGGGACAGGCAGGAAAGAAGGGAGAGTTCACAAGACCCTGGGGCTGGTCCTGGGTCTCAGTGGGGCCTTGAGGAAGAAGCAGGTGAGCTGGCTCCACTCACCTCCCATGCAGGGAGGTGGCGGGGAGTGAGGTGGACACTTACCATTCATGTCAGACTTACAATGTACAGTCAGGCCCCCTGCTCCAGGCTTGGGTTCCTGGACAGACCATAGACTTAGCCTATATTGACACCCAGGGGAGAGGGCAGAAGCGCTGAGACCCATGGGTAAATATCGGGTGATATGGTTTGAATCAGTGTCCCTACCCAAATCCCATGGTAAATATCGGGTGATGTGGTTTGAATCAGTGTCCCCACCCAAATCCCATGGGTAAATATCGGGTGATATGGTTTGAATCAGTGTCCCTACCGAAATCCCATGGTAAATATCAGGTGATGTGACTTGAATCGGTGTCCCCATGCAAATCCCAGATTGAAATGTAATCCCCAGTGCTGGAGGTGGAGCCTGGTGGGAGGTGACTGAATCATGGGGGTGGATTCTCATGAATGGGTTAACACCATCCCCCTGGGTGCTGTTCTTGAGACAGTGAGTGAGTTCTAGTGAGATATGGTTTTTAAAAGTGTGTGACACATCCCTGTTCTCTCTCTGGGTCCTGCACCTACCATGTAAGATGCCTGCTCCCACTTTGGCTTCCACCATGAGTAAAAGCTCCCTGAGGACTCCCCGGAAGCAGATGCCGCCATGCTTCCTGTACAGCCTGCAGGACCATGAGCCAATTCAACCTCTTGTCTTTATAAATTACGCAGGCTCAGGTATTTATTTATAGCAGTGCAAAAACAAATACACCAGAGCAGTGGCAAGGTGAATGCAAGTGCCCTCTAGGGAGGTAGATGGGGTTGGTGGGGAGGAGGCTGGATGAGGGTGAATAGGAGAGAGGGGACTGCCTTGTTCAATTGGTACAGGAATGGAAGAATTGTTCATTACCTAATCACCACCTCCCTTCCAGGTGTGCAGTCCTCTCCTCTGCATGAGGGCCTCACTTCTGGAACCAGGGCCTGGTCCGCTTGGACAGATCTGCCAGCGCCAGCAGTCACCACAGAGCTGCTCTAGTCCCTGGTGTGAGTTTCCTGCAACTGCGGTAACACAGTCTTACACACAAAGTGTGTAAAAAACAGAAACATATTCTGTCACAGTTCTAGAGGCCGAAAGTCCAAAATAAGTCTTAATGCCCAAATCAAGGTATCAGCAGGGCTGTGCTCCCCTGGAGGCTCCAGGGAAGCGTCTGTGCCTCACGTACTCTGGCTTCTGATGGTGGCCAGCATGCTTTGCCTTGGGGCTGCTCCATTCCAGCCTCTGCCTCTGCGGGCGCTGCTGCATTCTCCTCTTCTGTCTAGGGTCAGATCTGCCTCTGCCTCGGTCTCGTGATTGCAGATGGGGCCCACTCAGATAATCCGGGATAACCTCTCCATTTTTAGAACTTAAACTTAATCACATCTATAAAATCCTTTTCTTGCCATATAAGGTTAACATTCACAGGTTCTAGGGATTAGAACATGAGTGTCTTTAGGGGGCTGTTATTCTGCCTGCCTCGTCCCCTTTGGCCTGTATGAATTATACGAGTACCTGTCAATCACAGATCCAGGGATGGAGGTGGAGATGTGTCTGGCACCCCCTCTCTCCTGCACCTGTGCTCACTGACAATGGGTGCAGCTTAGCTCCTCCTTCTCCTCCTCTCTTTTCCCTCATTTTGGGAGCCAGAGGACTACTTGGGTTTGGAAATAGTGCTCTGCATCACTGGAGGAAGCAAGTATAAAACCTCAGTCCACCCCATCGCTCCATCAGAAGAATTCCCATTGGACAGCTGGCTTGCATGCGGGTGAGTTGTAGTTTGCTGACATGTTGACTCTCTGATCCCTGTCTCTTGGTTGGAGATGATGGGTGCATCACGTTAGGCAGCAGGATGTGGGGAATCAGGACCCAGGCCAATTGTCACATTCACAGGGGAGAGAACTGTGCTGGCCTCAGCTGGCTCCTGGATCTAACAGATCAAAGAAAAGAACTGGATCACTCTAAGCAACCCCCTCATAGCTCCAGCCTCGCTGATCCTGGTTGGTTATGATTCAGAGGAGGGGAGGGCAGACTCACTGATGATCAGTGCCTCTTCGGAGATGACCAAGGGCAGCTACAGAGATGGCCAGTCCCCCAGTCCATGCAGCCACTGAGAGGGCCAGACCCAGATTCCATGCAGCTACAGAGATGGCTAGCCCCTCCCTCCATGCAGCTACAGAGATGGCCAGCCCCTCCCTCCATGCAGCCACTGAGATGGGCAGCCCCTCCCTCCATGCAGCTTCTGAGATGGCCAGACCCTCACTGCATGCTCGGGACTAGGTATGGAAAGACAGACAGCAACCGAGAGACACCGCTTGAGGAGAGGAGGAGTATGGGGAAGGAAAAATAGCTGCAACATAAGGAGTACCAGGAGTGCATGATTTAGAGTCGAAAGAACTGGGTGCAGATCCCGACTTCGCCTGACTCTATGTGACCTTGGAGAACTCACTTAACTTCTCTCAGTCTCGTTCAGCTCAACTGGCAACTAGGGAATACAATCCCTGCCTTATAGGGTGGCCATAAAGATCAATGGGATAAGACACATTGATGAATTTTATAAGTGCTCTCTACTTGCAAAGAATTTCTGCTATTCCTATCTCCATATCCTGCCTGCCAAGGGTTGCATAAACTTATTGTGACATTTAGAGGCTTCTTAAACGGGATGAGGGTTGGTGACTTTTGCTGCTCCAGACCCTGAGGAAACGGAGGGGGACTGGCTGGACAACATGAGGAAACCTGAAACCCATTCATCTGTAATGAAGGCATGGCGGAGAAGTAGGGACTCCCTAACCTGACTTAGCTGCTGTTTGTTATTCTTGGGAGGAAAATCCCCAACCTGGTTCTGCTTGAAGCCAGGCTGTCTGGAGTGATGTCTTGACAGGATGATGGATGGTGGCCAGGCACAGTTTGTGACACCGAAGCACATACTCTGCATTCTTTATCTGGAGCTGCCGCTGGCGGAAGGCTGCAAATAAGCAATCCAGTTATAGGAATCCCTGATAAAATTCCATTATGGGCCCCAGAGACAATCACGCTGGATTCAATAGCGGGGAGGCTGGGAGGCGAGGCGCATGTTGGGAGAAAAGCGCTGCCACTGGGGAAATTTTGCCTGAGCCCGGAGGCTCTCGCACTGGGAATTCCATAAAAGTCAGAGACTGAAACCATCTCTGACATCCAACTGTCTTTGCTGTTTGAAATGTGACAACACTTACATGGGGTGGTAGCTGAGGGCTGTGTTGCAGCCAGCGGGCAGAGACCTCGGGTTGGAGCTGACTTAGTTTTATTGAGATGCTGGTTTCCCCCTCGGACGCGTCCATGGGAAGCCGGCTCTGTTGCGTGGCTCACTTTTTTTGGCCTCTAGCTGATCCAGCTGAAGCCCAGTGGTGAATATAGAATCCCCCACCCCTTGGAGATTTAGGAAAGCTTGCTTCAAACCTCAGTATCTGCCTGAGGCCACTGGGGACCTTACATGGGCAGACGCAGATACAAGACACAGCCCTTCACCCTTTCCCCAGAACCATCCATTGGCCTGGAGAATTTTGTGAGTTTAGTGAGACTCGAGGGGTGCAGGGTGGGGACAACCTCCCAAACTTCTGCAATCCCTGGGCAACTTCCCAGCCTTCTGCAATCCCTGGTTTCCCCACCCTCCTGACCCTGGCTCTGTGCTTCCTCCCCTTCCAGTGCAACCAACACACTCTTGCCTTGTCTTTTACGGAGCAGTTCATCTCCCATTGGGTTATGAAGCCCTAGCTTCTTCCACCAGGGACCTTACCAACGAGTTTTCAAAAGCAAGGCAGTTCTTTCGCTCTAAGAGGAATCTTCTACCAGCTGCTGGGAGGGCGGGACAACATGCGTCCCCTGCACGCACTGACAGCTAACGCTCAGAGGTGCTTGCTGTGGGCCAGGTAGGCTGGGAGGTGTTTGCCTGGGTTGACTCATCAGTGAGGAGGGTGCTGTGTTTATCACATTTTACAGATGAGAAAAGCTATAGGTAAGTTAAGTCCCTTGGCCAAGGTCATGCAGTAAACCCAGGAAGCCTGGCACTGGTCTTATTGTCATCATCATTATCCTGGACATAGATGGGCTAGAGAGAGAAAGCTCACTCATTGGCCTCGGGTCCCCATCCGGTTATCAGTGCCGAGAAGCCGTTCCAGAGGAGATGTGTGATCCGCTCCTACTACAGCTCCATCCCAGCTCTTGTTAAGAACTTCCTTCCCGGTCACCCAACAGTGTGTTGCTTCCAAGAGCAATGGCTGGGCCAGGTCAGTGCTGGGTGACCTAAGTTTGCATCTTCAACTGCTTCTTGCTCTCTGCTGTGACCTGGCTGATCCCCCAAGCACAGCATCTCCCTTAATTGAGAGAACTTGGGACATTCAGGACTCACTTTTGTGTTCCCCTCATTTGGACTCAGATCATGCTGCAAGCATGGTTTTGACCTTCACTGCCTGGCCCAGGGAGCCTGTAACTGCGTGGGGTTAGGGCAAGACCTGCTCAGATGCGTTTCGAGAGCACACCTCAGGGCTCCCATGACTGGGGCTTTGACCAAATTAGCCTTTCCTCTTAGATTTGGGAGACCACCTGTTCTTCCCAGCATTCCGTCATCCTGGGTTTCCTGGCTCTGGGCTCACTTCTGACTTCTGGTTTGTGCCGTCCTCTAAACCTTCCCTGAGGTCCTGGATTGACGATCTGCCTGATATTGACATGTGGTAACCTCGGGGGCTCACCCTCCAGCTTGGGGACCTACCACACAGACACAGGCTGGCAGTGCAGGGTAGGAAAGGCAGCAGAAAGGGAGCTGGCCAGTCGGACAAACCTGGGTTCAAACTACAAGTCCTCTACCTGCTGGTCATGGTGTTAGAAAGTCACCAGACCCCTCTGGGCCTCTGTTTGCTCTTCTGAAAATGGAGCCACTGATGATGCCATCCTCATTCATGGTGGTGATGAGGGTTTGAAACACTGGAAGGCATGTGCAGCGCTCCACAGCCGGGATGTGGCAGAGATGGACTTGGTTTCCTTTCTTCTGAGCTTTACCAAGTATCCCTGGCCTTTTCTCCCTTCTTCTTCCCTTCACTTTCGGTGGCTTGGCCTCGAGTCTCCCCAACAATCATTGCCACTTAGGCTGAAGGTCCTGCCCTCTCCCCGCTCCCTGCCGAGCCCTGAGGATGGGAGAAGGTGGAAGGGGGTTGTTGACAACAACAGCCGGGTCCCCTGCTTCTCAGACCTCTGTCCCACTTGCTGCCTGAGACTTAGGGTGGCAGAACACAGCAGGCCCTGCCCAAGCAGGAGGAGAAGGAGAAACAGAAGCCACAGGAGGTATAAATTGGGGTCTACCCGAATGAGGGGCTGCCTACTTTCTGCCCTGGTGACCATTAGCACCATCACTTGAGGGCTTAAAAGAGGGTCTGTTTGTCCAGTTGGCCCCTGCCTCCTTTGTCTTTTCTTTCTTTCTTTCTTTTTCTTTTCTTTTTTTCTTTTTTTTTTTTTTTGAGACAGAGTCTGGCTCTGTCGCCCAGGCTGGAGTGCAGTGGCCGGATCTCAGCTCACTGCAAGCTCCGCCTCCCGGGTTCCCGCCATTCTCCCGCCTCAGCCTCCCGAGTAGCTGGGACTACAGGCGCCCGCCACCTCACCCGGCTAGTTTTTTGTATTTTTTAGTAGAGACGGGGTTTCACCGTGTTAGCCAGGATGGTCTCCATCTCCTGACCTCGTGATCCGCCTGTCTCGGCCTCCCAAAGTGCTGGGATTACAGGCTTGAGCCACCGCGCCCGGCCTCTTTTCTTTTTTTTTGAGATGAAGTAACTGGGATTATAGGCACCCACCACCCTGCCCGCCTAATTTTTTTTTTGCATTTTTAGTAAAGATAGGTTTTCACCATGTTGGACAGGCTGGCCTCAAATTCCTGACCTCAAGTCATCCTCCCGCCTCAGCCTCCCAAACCCCTGCCTCTTACCTTCCCCACCCTACCCTTGTTATGCATCCCCTCTGCTGGTTGTTGCCATGGGCTGCCCTGCAACCCCATCAAATCCAGATGTGGACACCCAACCCCAGCACCTAAGAATGTGACTGCATTTGGAGATGGGGGTCTTTAAAAAACGATCAAGGCAGGGCGCAGTGGCTCATGCCTGTAATCCCAGCACTTTGGAGACCGAGGCAGGCAGATCACAAGGTCAAGAGATCAAGACCATCCTGGCTAACATGGGGAAACTCCGTCTTTACTAAAAATACAAAAATTAGCTGGGCATGGTGGTGCGTGCCTGTAATCCCAGCTATTTGGGAGGCTGAGGCAGGAGAATCATTTGAACCTCCAGCCTGGGCAACAGAGTGAGATGCCATCTCAAAAAAAAAAAAAAAAAAGGCGATCAAGCTAAAATGATGGTGGATCCTCATCCAGTATGACTGGTGTCCTTCTAAGAAGGGGAGATCTGGACACAGACAAACACAAAGGGAAGACCATGTGAAGACACACAGAGAAGACAGCCACTTCCCAGCCAAGGAGAAGAGAGGCCTCAGAATAAACCAACCCTGCCAACACCTTGACTCAGACTTCCAGCCTCCAGAACTGCGAGAGAACAAATTTCTGTTGTTTAAGCCTCCCAGCCTGCGAACCTTTGTCATGATGGCCCTAGCAAACAGATTCATGTGCCAAGCCCCATATCCCACTGAGGTGACCACAGGCTTCTGAAGCTTGGGTGGAAGCGCAAGGAACACGGGAGGAAGCCAAGGAACATGGGAGGAAGCGCAAGGAACATGGGAGAAAGAGCAAGGAACACGGGAGGAAGAGTAAGGAACACGAGAGAAAGCAGAGAGGGGCCCCCAGGCAGAGCCAGAGACCTGTTTCTACGGAGCAGGACTCCAGTCTGGTGCCTCCTCTCTTAGAATGAAAACACAAAAGAGGGTTGTGGAGGAATTTGGAATGTTATGGGATGTACTTGGGTTGTGGCAGCAGAGCCCAGACCTGGCCCAGGCGAGGTCTGCTCTGCCATCCACGGGCACTGCTCCTCCTCGCTCTCAGACCCTCTGGAACAAAAAGGAAGAAAGAGCCCCTCACTCATGTTTCCCGCTGTGCCCACCTGCAGGTGGGCGGCCCCCTCCCTGCTGGTCTCTTTCCCACATCCCACCCCTCCGGCTACAGCCTCCAAGTACTGCTCCTGCTCCTGCTCCTGCTCCGCGGCCCCACCTCTGCCTCCTCCCGCCCTCTCTTGCCCTTGGCTGCCCCTCCCAGGCTTGGCCTCCCCGCACGCACCGGTTCACACTCACACTGGGGCTCCCCGGCTCGCTGCTGGTGCCGTTTCATTTCCCATCTGCTCACCTCCGGCTCACGAGTAATGAGAGTTTACAAGTTGAGTTTCCATATGTGGAGCATTTATATGTTCTTCTTCAACAAGGAGGGGCGAGTTCCTCCGGCTTCATGGTCTCTGGCACCCAGAGGCTTCCTAGCCTGTTGTCAAAGGAGCCCCCTTCCCCGCCTCCTCCCTCACACAGCCCTGTCCCTTGGGAGCGGCAGACCCAGTTGTGAGCGTTCAGATACTGCTTGTTGGGAGGCCTGGATATGATTTTACATTCTCTGTTTTTCATTTTTAAAAAGCACATGTTCAGCAACATTCACACTATTTTGTTCTCAGATGGACTAGGGGAAAAAATCAAACGTTTCCTTGTGTTCTCTCTCAAATATAAAATTTAGCGTAAATTGTTTCTGCTTCCTCTCCCTCCTCCCACACTCTCCCTCCTCCTCTTCTTTCTCTTCCTCGTTCCTTTCTCCTTTCCCTCCTCTCCTTCCTCCTGCTCCTCTTCCTCCTCCTTCTCCTCTTGGCTTTCTCCTTCCCCTTCCCTTCTTCCTTCCCTCCCCCCTTTCTCTCTTCTTCCTCTTCCTCCTCCTTCTCCTCTTGGCTTTCTCCTTCCCCTTCCCTTCTTCCTTCCCTCCCCTCTTTCTCTCTTCTTCCTCTTCCTCCTCCCACACTCCTTGATTCAAATATTTTTCTGAAGGTCAAAGGCCCTATATGAAAAAAGGCTCCCCGGCTCAGCAGGACATACATGATACATTTCCACTGGGGAAGGCCTTGCCCCTCCCACTGCAGCGACAGCTGTCACTCTGACCTTTCCTACCTTGGAACAGATGGGGCACGGGGAGCAGGTGTCTGGGGGCGAGTGGAGATTGAGGCTGACAGTCACCCAGCTGTGGCTCCTGGGGTGCTCTCACTGGCCCCCCACCCCCGCCCCATGGAAGGCAGCGTCTCTGGGAGTTGGAACCTCTCCTTCTCTGCATTTCTCATGCCCCCTACTCAGGTTCTAGCCTCTGGGGCTCACAGTCCTCAAGGGCCCTTGTCTAATGCTTTGGCCATTGTTCCCTCTTCCTGCCTTTCGCTCTGAGGCAGGCCTCACTGCCTGGTGCTCCCCTCCACCTGGGTTTGGTTCTGAGGCAAAACCACCTCCTTCGCCCACATTATCCCCCGAGGACAAGCAAATCAGCTGTCCTTCTGGTTCTCTGTGGCCTCTTTCAGCCTCCGCATTTTCTCCTGATGGAAAGTGGAGAGGAGTCAGCCAAGGAGGGCAGCAGAGGATGGCCAGCCCTGCTCTGGGCCCAGCCAGTGCTGGGGGATGGTGGCCTGGGCTTCGGACATGGCTCAGTAAGGACAGATGGGGCACTGCAGTAGGATTAGCCCAGATCTGCTCAGACGACCTGCACGCGCCCCCATCCCGTCTCATTCTCCTTGTTCTCACCTGTCCTGCTGTCCTGCTATCACCAGCTCTGCACAGCACAGGCGCTTGGACAGGGGATTTAATCAGTCTCTTGGCTATTAGTCCCCAAGTAGTAATTGAAGTGGGCTGATTGGACCTATCTGTTAAGCCCAGGGAGCTGTGGGGAGATGGCTTTTGGAGCGTTTCCTCCGCCTGCTAATCTATCTGTCTGGCATTTTATCTGGAGCCCAGAGCTCATGCTTGAGCACTGAGGCATTTTACAGTATTATTATTACTTAGCACTTATAACATACTTCATCAATGAGAGGGTCGGCGGCCGCGCCGTCACTCTAAAGCACGGCGCTACAGATAGAGAGATACGGATCTCACTCCGGGTGTGTAATATTTGATGTCTGTGTCTTTGGATTGCTTGTAATCTTGTTATTAGTTTTGTCTCCTTGAGGAGAAAACCTACCTTCGTTCTCCTGATGCATGGGGGTCAGGTGGACCGAAGGGACAGGGATGGGGGCAGGAAGGATGCACAGGGGAGGGGTTAGCTTGGGTTCCCCCAGAAGCAGACCTAAGATAAGGGGTTGCATGCATTGATTTCTTTGGGAGGTGATCTGGGGAAGTACTAGGTTAGGGGAGTGGGGAAGGAGACGGGGGCAGGAAGAAGTGAATACAGGATGCTGTGCTACTGAGAAGGTTACCGCCATGGGCAGTGGGGCCCAATTCCACTGGGGAACTTGGCAGCTGGAGATTTCATCCTCTGAGTCCATCTGACATTGGCCGAGGCTGCTTCCAGGGCCATTCACTCCCCAGTCCCTTGAGCTCGGCCCCTACCTGGGCTGATAGAAGCCCTCAGGTGAGTCCCAGATGCCTGTGCCATGTGCTGCCCGCTGGGTGCCCGGGAGGTGTGGACGGGGCCCTGGCAATGACAGCCGTGGCTTTGAAGCTGGACACAGGTGTTCTGATAAGGGAACGAGCCCGGGAGAACAGCCCTTCTCTGTCATCTCAAACCCTGCCAGCTCTGTGTATCCCCTGCACCTCAGGGCTTGAGGCTGTGCCACAAAGTCCAGGACAGTTTGCAAAGGTCTGGGGACTGTCTTCAGCTGCTCCACCATCCCGAACCAGAGTGGAACGTTCAAAGAGAGGCACAGCGTATGCTTGGGTTCGAATGCCGGCTCTGGCCCCTTCTGGCTTTGTGACCTTGGGCAAGTGACTTCATCTCTCTGGCCCTTAGTTTTCTCATCTGTGAAATGGGAGTAGCAGTGGTAACTAGCAGGAAGGTCTTCGAAGGTTACATGAGAGAGTGTCTATAAAGTGCCTGGTCCCGTGTCCAGCCGTAGAACAGGAGTCCAGGACACATTCCTTCCTCTTCCCTTTCATCCAGGGCTCTGACTCCCACCCAGGACCCCGACCAGAACACCTGAGTCTAGTTTCCAAGTCTTTTTTTTTTTTTTTTTGAGACAGAGTCTCACTCTGTTGCCCAGGCTGGAGTGCAGTGGCACAATTTCAGCTCACTGCGACCTCCACCTCCCAGGTTCAAGTGATTCTTCTGCCTCAGCCTCCCGAGTAGCTGAAACTACAGGTACGTGCCACCATGCCCGGCTAATTTGTGTATTTTTAGTAGCGATAGGGTTTCACCATTTTGGTCAGGCTGGTCTCGAACTTCTGACCTCATGATTTGCCCACTTCAGCCTCCCAAAGTGTTGAGATAACAGGCGTGAGCCACCGCGCCTGGCCCTCCAAGTCTTTGAGTGACAGAGATTTCCTCAGAGGCTCACATTCCCGGGGAGTGGGACTCCTGCTTCCAGGACGCCGCATCTTTCCGATGCCGAGGGCAGCGGGCACCCTGCTGACCACTCCAGCAGCCCTGCCTGATGCCTGGGCTTGCAGATATCCCCATGCTCATCAGGCCAAGGCAGAGCTGCATGGCATCCCCTTAGGGGCTAATTTATACAGCAGCTTAAGTATTGTTTAAAACTCCTTCCCCTTCCGGGAGATGGGAGGGGCGGCTGCTGCTGCTGCTCCGGCCGCAGGCTCTTCTTCAAAGGGTCTCCCCGTAGGCAGATGGAAAACTTGCTAGGAAAAGCTTTTCTTTTCTTTTTTTTTTTCCATATCTATTTTTTCTTGGTTGCAATTCTCGTTCCTGCCTGATTCTCTACCTTCCACAGAGCCAGCACGTACCTCATGGGGATCAGAGCTCTCAAGGCCCGTGGGGGCACCTCCTGTAGGAAGACTTCCCCAGTTACCCCACAGGCTCCAGCAATGCTTGTTTCTGCTCCCCCTGGTTTCCTGGCTTCCTTGTGGCCGTGTGCTTCATGTGTGGAGCTCCTCTTTGTGGACTGATGAGTGTGTGTACTGGGAACTTGTTGTCTGTCTATCTAGGGGGATGACAGTGTCTCGAACGATAGGACTTGGGTCTCATCCTTCCTCTGGGCTGGGGGAGCTGCTGCCGACTGGTTGGGGTGAGACAGTCTCTGAGCCCACCCGAGGGCGCCTGCCTGCCCAGGTAGGCTCTGGTAACAGCCAGTGACTCTGCTATATAGGGGATCCGTCAGAGCTGAAAGGTCTAGAAGCCCTTCATCATATTAAAGACCAATTCCGTGCAGATTAAGAGGACACAGCATCTGTTCTCTTGGGCTTGGGGAAGCCATCCATCCACCTGGAGCAGCTCTGGGCGGGCAGAGGAGCTCTGGGCAGGAAAGGGAAAAACTCAGGTGGTGAAATGGTGAAGAGCAGCCTTCTCCTGTGCCCCTGAAGAGAGGCCCCAGGTGCCCCGAGTGTCCAGGCTCTCGTGTGGCTCTGGTTCCCCCCAAGGTGTCGAGCACTCTGCCTCCTGCACGGGGTCATGCTTTCAGTCAGATCCCCCAAAATGCTCAGGGGCCCTTGCTCTTTCTTAAGACAGACTCATCTGACTCCTTCCAAGGCTGCGAGCTCAGCTCTGTTGGGGCATTGCCTGCCGTCCTGCCTTCCCCCTTTTCCTGCCTGGCTGCATGGTGGTCCAGGGCCATCTGGGGATCGGCTGCACGGTGGGGAAGGGCCACTTCTTCCTGGTAGGGCTGGCCAGGAACAAAGGCAAGGGGACTGGGGAGGGGACTGGGCTCTGCTCTATTTATACTGTATCTTGGGGGAGGGCACGTTGGCAGCCCGGAGCTCTGGATGCCTCCCAAAAGCCTGAGTGGTGGTGGCAGGGGCATCTGTCCACTGAAGGAAGGGCAGAGAGAAAAGAATGGGCATTTATTGATTTTCTTCTATATGCCAGGCACCAGGCCAGGCCTCTGTAATGCATGATCTCATCATGTAAATATAGGATGGTGGTCAGGAGATCAA